GCTGAACTTGTGCTGGGCTCAGCACAATTGAGGAAGGAGGCGAGACTGGCTTCTGAGACTGTAGCATAACGTTTTCTTTCAGAACCGTCATGGGCTGTGAAGTAGGAATGGCTTGTAAAATGAATTTTTGGGGCGTTGTTGCTGAGGCTGGATCTGTGCTGGCTATCACTGTAGTAAGAGGCACCGTCTGGAGTGTTACAGTATGCAGCTGCTGGTTTCCAGGAGAAACAACCACTGGAACTTGGGTTGGAGTCTGTAAAGTCCTATTAAGATTAGAAAAGATTATAGGGTCAGAACACTTCCACGCCGAGTTTTGAAAAATAACTATAGATTTACTATTGAAAAAAATCACTTGGCTTCATGAACATTTCATTTACCCAAGGTTCTGAAGGAGGTGGCAGTCGCTCTCCTAATAAAACAAGAACTGGACCTGACCCCTGAATTCAGCAACACAGTTCCCAAAGTAAAGGTACCCTGCATGAACAATACTGGCGATGAACATCGCCAAACCGAACAGCCTGCCTTTGAGACCTTCAGTAGTTCATCAGAAAACCTGAGAATCGCATCTAAGATCTCCTTCTCACGAATCAACCAACATCATGAGCATGACCCACTACACATCTGCCATCAATTTCATGAAGTACCCTAAGTAATTCATAAGTCACAAACCTAAATAATTCATAAGTCAGGCCTCAATTCTCCTGATGTTTGTATATACATTTACATATATGCAAAAGTATCTGCACTGTAACAGTGAGTCTGGTCAGGACCTTCTCAGACTCCCAGGACAGAGAGTTCTCTGCCAGGCTTGTATGCTCCTTCTGGTAAAACAACTGAACAGAATTTGCTCCCAAAACATCAGATTAAGTTAGGAATGATTCCGTCAGTTGTGGGCTCACAGATGCGGGTATGACATTACTTTCTATACATGTACAGCTGAGAGGGCAACGTTAGAGGATTAACAGCCATACTGCTGAAGTACACAACTACTACAATGGACAATGGTGACTTAGAGATGTGGCTGAAACACACACACGCCAGTCATGCAAATAAAAACAAAACAAACAAAAAACCCAAACCACAACATACTCCTGGTGAAGCAAATGATTTCCAAGGGAAGGAAAGAGGAAGGGAAGGGCAAGTGCTTTGACGCCCTCCCACGGCTTGCTCCAGCCCATCACGCCACGCAGTCTCTGACAACCTTTTTCTTTCCTTCTGCTTGTCCTGCAGAGTTCTCTCCAACCTTCCTGCTTCTCTTCAGTGTTTTCTCCTGCCTGCCCTCCTCCACTTTTTTAGTCTTAAGCTCTCCCTTGTGTTTTCTTGAACATATTTGACACTGACCAAAACCAAAAATAACTATCTCCTCCTCTTAGCTTATTTCTACCCCTGCTGAAACCAGTTTCAATGGAAAGCCATTTACTGTCAACATTTGTACTTTTAAGTCCATGCACAATACTGCATGCTCTTCCTTCTGAAGACTGATCCTCATATATGCTGTAAGGGTTGCCTACTAAAAATCTACCATGGAATGTCCTCCTCTCTATAGTCCTTCTACCCATGTAGTACCTGTTTTTTACAGCTCTGTGAAATCCTACTTGCCAGTGTTTAGCGATTGACCAGTCAGATCAGACTCAGCATATTCAAAACTTCAATTTAAAACCATGCTCTGGCTATCACAGTTACAACAAAAAGCTTACCAAAGCAGGACTTATGTGATGCTGAAGCTATAGGGCAATGTGGATGCAGATGCCGCTGCTGGCGGTAGTCCAACCGCACAGGGAGCTGCATTCCCCCCTTCTTAATACAGCAGCAGAGACAAGCGAAGGAGTATTTGTAGAGGATTTCCCAGGTCCCTCTCAGCTCAGTCCTCTGGGAAAGGCCTCTAGCTGAGCTCCAAAGATTGCTCCAGCAAGAGCAGCTCCAGTAACCCAGCCGGTACCAGGCTCAGAGCACATCATACTCCCTGAGCATCCTCCAGCTGCCAGTCCCTGCTGCAGGCAATCTTTTTCCCACCTCCTATGTGGCTTGGTAATACAAGGAACAAAATCCGCATCTGTAGCTTTCTTTTCCTCACAAGAAAGAAGGTTGCAGTACCCAGGAATGCTACTATAGCAAAAAAAAAAATCCAAATCCTTGCCCACGAGGCTCCCATGCAGGTCTCATCACAGAGGCCATAATAACCAGGACACAAAATTTGATGCGACTGGCACCACAGTCAATCTTTAGCTCCTGTTTCACACAACTGGAGACAGCCCAAGGAAGAAGCTCATGGAAATGGGGGCTGGCTGGAGGTGAAGCATCAGCTGGAGTGATCACTTCTTTCTTTCCAACTTCTGGAGAACTTGGTGCTGCACAGCAAATACCAACAACCAAGCTTAAAGTGCAAGGCTCACACCAAGTCTGCTAAGGGTTATCGGTGTTAACTCTCCCCGCCCCAGCAATTCCCTTGGGACCTTGACAGAAAAATCACAAATGACTGTGTCAGAAGTAGTAACAGGATGAGGGCATCCACTAGCTTTTTTTAAAAAAGTAAACTACCTACAGTTAAGCAAACTTGCAGTAAAATCAAATTGTCATATAGATACAGCTCAACCCAGGAAAGTCTACAGAGACCAGCAAGGCAAGTGGAACAGCTAAGAAGGAAAGACAACTGACACTTGCCATCAGAAAAGCATTACAAGTATCAGAGTAGATACCAAGCCAGCTCTTTAATCCATGAAGAAACTTACCTGAGCCTGAAGGATTAAGATCAACTCAATAGTTGCAGTTTTGAAAGCAGCAGCTGAAGCTGCTAGCCTGTATGCCATCCAAGTATTACTTTGAAGCTACTTTCTTGTTCTTTAGCTGTTTTGTTTTAAAACAAAATAGTAAAAATAAAAGCTTCTAGCTGCTAAATGGCTGTAAAGGACAACCTCAAAAAGCATGAACTGGATCTAATCAATGCAGAAGGTATTCTACAAAGCACTAGGAGCAACAGCTCTGAGAGCACCGAACCAGATCGTTTGTCTCAAGCACACTGTAATTAGTAGTTACATATTGATGTTAAGCCATTTTATTTTTCCTGAAAGCAAGTCCCATACCTGTACATCATACTGTGACTAATAGTTTACTCCAGATGCGCTATCTTCGCCATCAGTCAAGATACATATATATGATACACACATATATAAGCATGTATATACACATATATGTATATACACACAGAGAGTGTGAACTTGCTACAGGGAAAGCATGCAGCAGATGTCTGTACAAGCACAGGATTAAGTAGCACACAGAGCACCATAAATACACGTTGTTGTTTATGCTGATGGTGGCCAAGCAAGACATTTGCCTTAATTGGTAAGACTACAGGCAACTGTGTCTGTTTACAAACTAAAAAAAATCCTATCTGCTCAAACTATCTGCCTTGAATATAATTGAAAAAAATACAGGTTTGGTTAATTGTTTTGCCTGTTTTACAAAAAAAAACCCCAAACAGCTACACACTACTTAAGGTGATCTGTTAACACTGGGCTACGTTATTTTAGGTGCTTTGAACTGTGTATTTTGCTATGCTTCTGAATTTCACTGTCAATTTGCTAATGCCCTTCCTACTCTAAGGTATAAATCTATTGGGTGAT